AATGGGGGGGGGGGGGGGAATTAAAGAGTTGTTTATACCTTGAATCAGGCAAGAGATGTGGGTATCACGTACCTGTGCAAATGCACTGCCCAGGTGACACCGGGGCATGGGCAGAGGCTGGTCATAGGCAAGTCCTGTCGGGGAAAGAAACGGATGTGAACCTCTCAGGCCAGGTATCAGCTATTGGCGTGAGTGGCTCTTCTATGAACATGCTCTCTCATCTTAGAGAAACCATCCCAGCCTGGCATCCCTCTCCTCCACACACAGTAGGGTTGCTACAAATACACTCATGCAAGTAAACTGCCAGTCGGATCATGAAGCGTCAGGGTCTGTGGAGGTGCCAGTGATGGCAAACAACGCAGGATGCAACACAAAGGGAAGAGGGCAGCAGTCAAAAGAGTTACAAAATATTTCTTCCTATAGTGGATCTGTTAGCTAAGGTAATTGATATATAATGTGTATATAAACACAGTGCTAGCACACGGGAATTCCTATGAGTGTCAGAAAGCTAGGTGAAGGGAGCACATGCAGGTTATGCTTCAGCAGAATTGAGTTCAAAGTCACAGTAGATTTTGTTGGGTTTGATTTGTTGTTTTGTTGTGGGGTTTTTTTTTTCAAACAGCTCATTTTTCGAAGCTTGGTAGGGAAGCAGCACTTCAAGCAGGAGTGAGATCTAATTATTGGAAATCCAATGTATTCATTCCTCCCATCGGTTCTGATGCACCTTTCTTTTTGAGTCCTTAAAAAAATTGTCCCTTGGAAGAGGACCTTACACCCTGCATCTTCCCAGCCCGATGCTGCTTAGAACAGAGCGTTCAGGACGGTTTATTTTAATCACCGTCCTTTTATCACTGCAGAGTTATGAGGTGCAGAGCGTGCTGGGAAAGGAGGTGGGGTTACTGCACTGCTACGTCCACTCCGTCAGCAGCCACCCCAACCGCGTTGCACTAGAGGAAATCTTCCTGCTGGAAGCGCCTGCAGGACACTGAGCTGAACTCCCCTCCGCTACTGCAGCGTCTGTGGACTTTGCAGTGTGGTTTATCTGTTAACTTGTGCCACAGATAATGTGTAATGCAAGTGTGATAAGCATTAAGATAGTTTATTAAAACTGTGATTACAAAGCACATTGTGCTAATGCTGAAAAAAGCTTTCTGAGCTCTTCTTTTTCGGATCAGTTCAGAATTAAGAGCACAGTTCTCTGATGCGTTTGCCGATTATGTATGTGAAACATCTTGTTCTGGAGTTTTGAATGGTTGTGATTTATTTTTTTAATAATGCTGTATTTATTATATATCAATGGAAAATATTTTACTAATATTTTTGAAATAAATCTCTTGTTATGGGCAGTGAACATTGGTCTAAAGCTGAGTTTTATCAGTGGTTTCCAGACATACTGCCAGCTGCAAGACGCTGCGTTGTGCGCAAATTCTAAGTTGTAACATTTGTTATCACCGTGCAATAAATGTTATAAAGACAGAGATTTGAACTAAGCTTATATTTTGAAGTGTCAAGCATTTATAAAGTTAATGTTTTACAGCTAATTGGCCTCTGAACATTGAAGTACCGTGTTATTTGTAGCTTCCCACAAAGCGGTTGTTTCATTATACAGTTTCTGTTACGTGTACCAAGTACATGGCTTTACAGGCCATGTAACTATCCTCACCCTGACTGTATAGAGACATATCTGGGTTATAAATGTATGACAGGTACGTAATATAAAAATCTTCCTATGTATGTGTTCATTCTTTGAAAAGTTCAGTCAGAAATGGGATTTTTTTCTTCCTCTTTGATGGTATTTAAAAAAAACCTGTTACAGATCAGAGGAGGGAGAATGAATGGTTTTGCAGAGGTCCCAGTATGTGATTACCCAGCAGAAAAGGAACAGCAGACTTGTTGCTGCATTGATCACTCCTGCAGCCAAGGGCAATAATGGAAAGTCTTCTATACCTCACGATTACCAAAGGAATGACCCAGCTTTTGAATCCCCTTTTTTCCTCCCTCCAAGTGTTTCAGTCTCCCTGTCAGGAAGACAGGGACATCAGCCTATTCCTGTGCAGAGGATGCTGCCCAGTACGCGACCAGGGTCGCCCTTGCAAATCCAGCAGGATGTCTCTCTGGAAGAGCAGTGGCTGCTGCAGGCGCATGTCCTGCTGGGCCCTTTTTCTGCCAGTGTCCTGCAGATGTTGTCATCTTTGTGCGTGCACTGTTGAAATTCGGACAAGCAGCCCAACTTTTCATAGTGTATTCACTCAGGCGGAGACTGGCAGGGTTGCCTGCTCTCACTTTCACTAGCAGTGACCAGTGAAAGTGGCCAGCCACCACAGAAGGGTGAGCTTACACTGGAAGGACCCAGGCAAGGTGCCCAGCCACCACAGCAGGCTGAAGCACATGTGGGCACCCTTTCCTTTGGGGCTGTGGCAGGCTCAAAATTAGGAGTGCGGTAGTGCAGGGGCAGCTTCGTATTGCCTGGAGTGGAAACCACTGCGAGGTTTTTAACAGGAATTTTAAATAGCGGTGTTCATGTTGGTCTTTTTATTCTTAACATTGTGTTTTTGGAAGTGTCCTGGCTTAAGAGCATCCGCTCAGCTCTGCGGCCCGGCCGTGCCGCCCCGGTGACACCCGGCTTGGGGACACCGCTCCATCGCCCTGCGGCTTCATCGAGAAAAAAACCACCACAGTGTCCCTCGCTCCCACGTTGTCCTCACCCCAACCCGTTTCAGCCCCCGTCCCGTCCCGTCCCGTCCCCGCAGCGCTGCGGGCTGGCAGCAGCCCCCCGGGAGCGCC